AACTTTTAGTTATTAATAGTACTCCACTTCATTATCAGCGAATACATTTATCATTACTACCATTATTATTATCATTATTGTTATTATTACTAGTACTACTATTATTACTTTTGTAGAAACCCACCAAAATGCTCATGTGGGTTCATATAAGCCCGTTTCACTTCCGTTACTTTCTGGAACATCCCTCTCAACGAAGTTAGGGCAGCGTCCATATTCATATTCATTTTGATTCGAGTTCGAGTGCTTTCTGCAGCAATCAAGCGATAAAAGCTAAAAATATACGCGATATGAAATACTCCAAATAATGCCAATACCGAACAACAACCTATCAAACGATAGAATCAAACAACACACACTAATAATAAACATTAGCAAAAATACTTGAACAATTGGTTTTACTGACCAATTTGTAACAATACAATAAAGTCACCCAAAGGATTTCCTCCGTAGAACTCTTTATTAATGACAATGTGAAAATGTGATAAAACGATTGAAAATTTAACTGCAAATTACAACGAATGAAGAGGACATAACATCACTACCAATAACGAAGATAATCGTGAAATAATGCGAAAATTTGAACAAATTTCTCAGAATAACAGTCAGACTAATGTTGTAGCACTGTTCGGGAATTGAGTTAAACTCGCCGTTCGAGTGTTCAATTGAGACTTACCCTGGAATAAGAGGTTCACCTCGCGTTTATACTGAAGCCTGAGACTCATCCAGAGTCACGCTCTGGCTTATAGCATTAAACCATTCATAACTTATCATGAATAATAATGATAATAATGTTACTGATAATAATTATTACTATTACAATAAGAATAATAATACAATGCGCGAAATTACTACACACATCAATATTGATGAAAATGTTATAAAAATAACATGAGTACATTATTACTGTTGAGTTAACGTAGATAAATAGAAATTATAATAATAATGACAATAATAACAATTAAATAGTAATAAAGATAATAGCAATAATAATGAAAATAACGTGATCAGTAATCAAAANCATAGCAATGTGAACACATTATTAACAGTGACTTCTCACAATTCCCTCCAGAAACTATTCAACATTTCAATTGAATAACGTCAACCAGAACGATAATCAAACTGATACTACATACAGTAATCATTACCATAATAATAGCGATACTGGTGATATCAACATATCAATAACAATAATAATGAGTAAAATAAAAATAATGAAATGACCTGATATTAGCATTTTAGACGGCAGGATTAATTAGTTTTCGCGAGGAACATCAGAGCAGTTTTGGAGTTACGACGCTCCTCGTCAACAAACGTACACTCGCGCTGATTTCTGTGATTTTCAACGAAAGTCTCGAAGTGACGATGCCTCATGGCGTTGGTTGAGTCTCAAGTCTATCCTCGTGCTTAGGCATTGACCTAACCTGAGACTGGACCTGAGTCTCAACTTGATGCTAAACCTATGAGGGTTAGAAATTCAATTGTGTTTCTTTCTGCTAAAATTCAATTAGCACAAATTTTCTCCCTCTTCGAAGGGCTATCGTCAATCGTCACAGATTTCTCGCACAGTAGAGAATAATAATGACTCTCCGACCACCACCAAAACGCTTGTCTCTCTTCCCTAAAATTTGGTGGTAACCGAAATCGTCAAAAATTCAGAAAATTCCCCTGATCAGCGGCAATGATGACAACAACGGTAATATGGACAATATACAGTAATATTATACAGAATAATATGAATAATAGTGATAATAATGTATAGCAGCAAGTAACTTATGCACACAAAATTCTCACAGCTATTATTCTCCAATCGAGGGCCAGTACACATACTGTAAAAACCGAACAAAACAGTATAACCATTATTACATCGTACAGGATACGGTATTTTCGAACCAATGAAACAAAAAATAGTAATCATTCTTATAATTACAATTAGTCGCAACAGTGATAATCATTCACACTGAAATTAATAATAATCAACGATTGTAATAATAATAAAGATCCACAACAAAACACAACAACAGCAATAAGAGCGATCCAATTCTCGCAACATTCACTCATAAAAACTCCCGTATTCTCATTGCGACCGCTTTCTCTGTGTATTTGTCGAAGTTTTCTTTCAGCCAATTTTTCAAACATTTCAAATCTTCTGCTGTAATACTCAATACTCCACCTTGTTGTTCCACACATTCACTGTCATGTTGATCTTCTTTATTTTCATTATTACCATTTTTGCCATTATTATTATTATTATTGTAGTACGTGTTATAATCGCTATCCATCGGACAGTGGGCCGACGTACTTTTGAACCATTCAAATAACGGTATTCCAATCATTACTAGGTCATCCAACTGCGACCAATTCACTTGCCGTGCAAAACTAATCAGCAATCCCATCAGCAAGTTCACCAGAAACTGAAATTTCTTCGTACTTGAAACTACTTCATACGGTAATTCTACCCATTTCATTACCGTATGCCCCGTAAATTCATTGGCTGACGGCATTTGCACTGTAACCCAATAGATGAATATAAATATTCACTTAAAAGCGACTCAATACTCTTAACAACGCAAATATTGGGTTGTTGCATAAGTTCGTGCGCTTTATCTATGTTTTCTAAAACTTCGGTTTCAAACCACAGAAGCTGACCAGTCAATCGACAATGTATTCTCCTTCGATTTCCACGACTTCATGCCATCGTTCCACCAGGTTGTCGATTCCACGACCATAAAATTCCGCTGGCTTCGAGGCGAAGAAATCGTCTAGCCACGTTTTGAGGGCATGGTCGTTGTCGAAGGCTATACCGCTAGGGCTTTTCGAGAGGGAACGGAAGAGGTGGTAGTCAGATGGAGCGAGATCTGGCGGGTAAGTGGGATGAAGCAAAATTTCCCATCCAAGCTCCAAGATCGTTTTTCTGGTCAGTTTTGCTGAGTAAGGGCGCGCGTTGTCATGCTGCAGGATGACCTTGTTCACGATATCGGGCCGTTTGTTCTGAATAACCCGGTTGAGTGGGTTCAGTTGCTCGTTGTACAGTGCAGCATTGACTGCTTCGTCTTTCTGAAGCTGGTTGACGCGGATTCTGATGGATGAGAACATTCAGACGCCCCTCGTCGAGAGCCAACATATGACCAGAACGTCGCCCACCCTCCCGCCTCCCGAAGTCACCCTTCGCGAACCTCGCAAACCATTTCCGGGCTGTTGTTATCAGCATTGCATCATCTCCGTATACGGTACAAATGTCACAAGCGATCATTCAGCCCTGATTGAATGTACAAAGTAGCACTTATCGAAAGTGCGTTTTCGTGTCCACTGGACACGTCATTTCATCATGCTGAAGATCCGGACGAAACAAAACTGTTGTAGATCGTCTAACACAGTTGCGAAGAGCAGAAAATCCTCTATCGATTGGTGTATAGCACTCNTCTGGGAAAGTGGATTTTTGCCGGAATAATTCAATTTGAATAACAGCGCATGAACTTATGCATCAATCCAATAAAATTAACCAAAGTATACGTCGAAGTGAATACGGAATGAAAATGATAAATAACAACTGTAAGTAATAATGAATGCAGTAACCTAATACAGTAACAATAATGAAACCTACCGTATTTTTGCAGATGTTTTTTGCATCGAACAACTCATTAATCGGCAGAATACGGATTAGTTTTATGAGATTATCGAACGACAACAACGAAAACGTTTCAAAAAGTGCATTCGATAGAGAGGTATTTAACTGCAATGTTCATGTCTATCATACTGCTAGACAGTTTTATGCATTATTATTGACTTTTACAGCACTGATTATTGCTAAGACTATAGGCAGCAATAAATAATTTTAATTAACACGATTTAATTAACCGTTGTTTACTCGATTATTATGCCCGTTTCATACACGAAATTCCGCCCACGAACGATGGCAACACACCGGCTTCCGGCCACAAAAAATCGGCAATACACCAAGTCCCACCGACGAGTAATTGACATAATCAAAGAGGAATAATAAGAAGAAATATGAAACGCCTTACCTGTTCCTGCGCTACTTTTTGCGTTATAACTGGCATAACATTCACAAAACTCTCCAGCAATACTAACAACTTTGCTTGACATGCAG